AGTGTTTTTATCTGTAGTTTAGATTTTGTATTTTTGGCTTCCAGCCCTTTTGGATTTATTTTTATTTTGGACTCAGCCTACAAAAAAAGGATTTTCTTTATATCATCTCCTGCCTCGTGTCATCCTGGGTACCCGCATTTTGGGTCCTACCATCCTCGTATCGCGCCGACAACACCATTCTCTATCTCACTCCACCTTAGTTACACCGTACATTTAGTGTTAAAGTTAGTCTAGTTTTAATTTGTTTAGTAATAAATCTTTAAACTTTTAAAACTTGACTCTCTCTTCTGTTGTCTCTGAGTTAATACAAAGCTGTTACATAATCCCTGCAATAAAAGTTCCAATCTTTATAACATGTAAATTAACCTTTTACAGTAGTAAATCTGGAGATTACAGAGTAATGCACACTGGTACTGTTGTGCACACACACACACACACACACACACACACACACACACACACACACACACACACACACACACACACACACACACACACATCTTTAAAGCCCGGTTCTGGCTGTCAACTCATCCTTTTGAACGTTCCACACTCCACCTGCTACCAGCTGGTATGAAAGTAAACATCTTCATACTCAGAGGATTCACACTGATTACACACATTTAATCCTGAAAGATCTGTTGTTCCATCACTCTATAACCGCATTTCTGACTGGTGTTAGCATCAGGGTAACTGCTGCTAACGATGTTTTCCTTATTGTCTAACTATAAATTAATAGAGACTTTATTTAGGTGGCTGTGTTAAACATGATGGTTGTGTGGAGTCAAAGTGCTGAACCTCCACCCTGCTGTTAGGTTTTAATTGACACTAATTATGTGAAACTGTCACACCCTGCCTTGTCTCTCCATTCTGTTCTGTCATGTGTCTCTGTTAAATGCTCCCACCTGCCTCTCGTTTTCCAATCACCCAAGCTCCCAGCCCTCATGTGTTTAAACCCCTTCAGTTCTGTGTCTCTTGTTGGTTCACTGTTTCATTGTCCTGCGTGTTCCTTATTAAAATCCTCATTTTAAATGTTCCTGCCTGCCTGCCTGCTTCTTCCCCTGCAATTGGATCCTCACCTCCGCTTCACTCACCAGCACACCTGACAGAAACGTTTTGGCCATGAAAGGTGATAAATAAAAAAACTTGATCTACTTTCTGAGTCTCTTGCATGCTTATAAAAGTGAATATTTGTCATTTTTAAATAATGTGAGGGCTCAATATATTTTATTTAACGTTTTAACATTTTCATGAACAAAGTTTCTTTTATTTTACTGTAAGAGCAAACATGCCTGTTGTAGTTCCACTACATCACCACCAGAGGGCAACACATCTCCCTAAAACTCAAAGGCCAAAATCAACAAAACAAAGTTAGTTTTCGGTTTCATTTTCTATCATTATAGGTAAATTAAAGATCAACAGAATTATCACATATTAAGTATTTTTATGTCTTTTATATTATTAAATCATGATCGCATATTAAAGGCTTTTATTTTGTTAGGACTTGGGAGTTTTGGAGCCGTTCTACATTTTCCTCTGTTTCCATCTCTTCCCCCTCCCCATTTCTGACTCCTGTTTGTCCTTTTAAACACTTTGAGTGTAGAAATGAACTCTGTCACGTAAATCAAAAAACAACGCTTTATGGATTCTACAATTACAATAATCGAGTCCAGTTTCAGAGGATCTAGGTCAGTGATCCCCAACTCCCTTCCCTGAGGGCCGGCATCCAGCATGTTTGGCTGGTTTTCCTTCTTCAACACACCTGATTTTAATCAGCAGGTGATCAGCAGGCCTCTGCAGAGCCCGACGAGCTGCTGAACAGGTGTGTTAGTTTCAGGCAGCTCAAACATGCTGGATACCCGCCCTCAGGGACGGGAGTTGGGGACACTGGTGTTCCTATGTGGCCCACATGCAAAACAAATAGGCCTGAATAAACAAAATGCTGAAATCATGTTTTTAACTTTCACAAACCACAAACTATGTTTTAAGGACTCTGCTGTTAGTGGGAATTCTGCTAGTCCAGGTTAGATGTGTCCACGTTGTGCTCCTGTTGGATTGTTGGGTGTCCCTTTTCTGCAGGTCTAGAAGCAGACCCCTGTTCATCATTGATTGTTTATTTTTTATTCATTTGGCAGACGCTTTTATCTAAAGCGACTTACAATGTATAACCTATAGGGCATGTTGTGATCTGTGGGGGAAACCGGAGTACCCGGAGGAAACCCACGCATGCATGGGGAGAACACGCAACTCCACGCAGAAAGGCCATAGCCGAGTTTCAAACCTGCAACCTTCGTGCTGCGAGGCAACAGTGCTAACCACTGCGCCACCATGCAGCATTGAACTTATATAGCGCTTTTCAAGACCCCCAAAGACGCTTTCACACACTCTCACATTCACACACTGCTAGTGATGGTAAGCTACTTGTAGCCACAGCCGCCCTGGGGAGGTCTGACAGAGGCGAGGCTGCCATTTGGCGCCGTCGGCCCCTCTGACCACCACTAACACAGGCAAGTTGGGTGAAGTGTCTTGCCCAAGGACACAACAGCAGGATACCCCTGGCGGGAGCTGGAATCGAACCCATGACCCTCCGATCATGAGGCAACCTGCTCTACCACCTGAGCAGAGGCGGTTTTACCATTAGGCATAGGTAGGCGGCTGCCTGGGGCTGCCTTGTGTTGGGGGCCCCCTAGCCCTGACCGCTGGCACCCCTCTGTTAATGCCACAATATTCTTATTACCAACCTGTGGCCGCAGACGGGATTGGACATGCGCAATTCTCGTTACCATAATTCCTGAACCGTTCAAGATATCATTAAAATTCCAAAAGTGCTGAAAAGATTAAAGTGGGGCTTTTCGTGCATATACAATACATTACGGTAGCCACCGGGAGTCCCTGTCTTGAGCGCAACGAATCACAACACAGATTCAGAGACGTGCTGAGTTTGTCATCCAAAATGCTCCGTTTTATAACTTTTGAATGGCTGATCAGATTCAAATAATTCCAACGGTTCCTAAAGTACATAAAAGCCGCTTTCCAACGTTCTATAGCATGAAGCAATCAGAGTTAGGGAAAATATCGCTACGAGGGGAAATCCTGCTGTACAGCCTGATTGAAACGGAGCGCAGCGCCGCGGTGAATGCGGATTACGGAACGGGGAAGCTAATTAGCATAAAAGCCTGCATGAAATTATGGAAATGCCTCAAAGAAAATCAACACGATCTGTTAGGTGTCCCAGAAGGCTTATATCTGAAGACAGTGACCACGAAGAAGGACAGATCTCCAGTGAACCAGGATATGAACGTTTGTTCAGTCTTTATTTTTTCATTCGAACAACCCTCAACTATTTGATAATTGTAAGATTCAGCATAATTCCAGCATTATTTATCTTTTTACCATAAATGATTATTTTTGCTAAAACAAAAGTTTTTGGTATAGCAGTGCACCGAGTGCAAGAGAAGCACCCTATGGCAGTGTGAGGTGTGCAGGACTCTGCCTGCAGCTGGAGAGAAACTGCTTCAAGGTCTACCACATCAAATAAAAATGTCTGAAAGTTTACAAAAATAAATGTTCTTAAAAACAGCTAAAAAAAAGATACCAAGGTTCAAACTTTTTTAAGAATAGATGCATTTCAGTTCAAAGTTTAAATTGTTCATTCCAAATTGTTCTCCCGGTAATTTTGAAGTTCCTGTTCAGTAATAAATGTAAAAAATTCTAATCCGTTATTTGCTTTTTTCACTTTTAAGCTGATTTTTTAAAGGCTTTAATAGAAATAAATTATAAATACAAACCATACACTAAAAGCTGAGGTTGTTCTGAAAAAAGAAGAGTAACACACACTTTGCGCATTTTATTACAATTTTACAGCCATAAGATTAAAAAATACCAGGCGGCCCTGTTATAATTATGGTCATAAGAGGGTTATTAAGACGGCGATGCACAAACTGGAAGTGATTGGTAGTCATTCGACTCCAATCCAGTTGGTGGCGGTAATGCACCAAATTGTTGTTTGCCAAGTGCCATAAGACCACAAATAAGAAGAAGAAGAGAGGCAGGGGCGTTCCTAACAAACCCAAAGCGATAGTCAAAACATGAAGCATGACATGGAGTTATCCTAGTGGCTCCAATAAGAGAAAGAAGCAGCTTGCTTCATAAAAGCTTTTATCCTCACTTCTGAAAGTGACGTTGTTTTTCGATGTAAACATCAAAAGGAAGCAGAAAGGAAAGACAATAGAAAATGTTTAAAGGGAGGAAAACATAGACCAAAATGGAAAATAGAAAAAAAAATAACTAAGGCTAAAGCACAGGAGCACTGACAGGAAGAAGAAAGCAGAGCAAATATTGAAGGCACTCAAAAGGAGAGAAAGGCAGGAAAAAAGGAGGACTAATAAAAAGTGAAAATAACTCATGTCAGAAGAGGGGAGAGTTTTGCAAATCCAGTTAAAGGTAAGATTAGTGTAAGGGGCCCCATGTCTGTGTTCACCTTGGGCCCCCAAATTGCTAAATCCACCCCTGCACCTGAGCTACTGCTGCCCCAGAATATGTGTGTGTGTGTGTGTGTGTGTGTGTGTGTGTGTGTGTGTGTGTGTGTGTGTGTGTGTGTGTGTGTGTGTGTGTGTGTGTGTGTGTGTGTGTGTGTGTGTGTGTGTGTGAAATATATTTAACCAGATGAGTCGGTAGGGAACTCATTCTCATTTACAGCAACGATCTGGCCAAGAGGCAGCAGCAACAGACACATAATTAGCTTTACATCAAAGAAAAACAGATGAGATAAAAACAAACAAGATTAAAATAAAAATTAAGTAAATAACAATAATTATTAAAACAGGTGTAAAATTAACTTGTCTTTACTTTATGTAATTGTTTGGGGAAGTTATCACAACCTACAGTTTATGTGTTTATTAGTCCCATTCTGAACACACAGGTGTGTTTTATTCTTCATCAGCAGGTGGCGCTAGTGCACCTTTACGCTGGTCATTGACCACCAGAAGAAGCAGAAACCGGAAGCTGCTAGCAGAGCTAGCTTATTGTTGTTCTGGTGTGTGAGGAGAATATTTGTGGCTCTGCAGTAAAAATGTCTTCACTTCAGTCTCTGGGAGAGTTGATCAGCTAAAGCGACTAACTGCTGCTGCTGCAGAAATCTTCTCACCAGGCTGTGGAAACTTTCTTCTCCTCCTCAACAACTTGGTGGAGTTCTTTCCAGAACCAGAGAAGATATTCTGCGGTCTTCGTGACAATCGGAGCTCCAGAATCAGGTTGTGGGTGAGAAAAGCTTTTCTCTAGACTTCCTGCCCTCTGGATCTGCTGCTGTTCCTTTGACCAGAACCAAAGCGTTGGATCTTTAATCTCCTGCGTTGTTCTGAAGCAGCATCTTAATCAGCTCTCCTGCTTTGTTTCTGTTGCAGCTGTTAGCTAAACACGGCTAAAGAAAACCTGCTACCACTTCAGGATCATCCATCAGCTGGGACTGATTCATCGTGTGTTCTTCACCACCTGGACCTGGACAGCATGGACACAGGTAGGGCTGCCACCTTTCAGATATGTAAATAAGTAAATGAGTTGGAGAAGTGGTTTTTCTCTTAGACAGATGTGTTATTCACACAGGTGAGAAACATCTGTAAAAGCCAGATCTGGTGCAGGAAAATAGCTGAACAGGGAGTGGGGACACACTTTGCCTTCTGCTGTTGTAAATGATAATAATAATAATAATAATAATAATACATCAATCTTATATAGCGCTTGTTAGGTCACTCAAAGACGCTTCACAAAAAAAATGTAATAAACACATAATAAAACAACATGAAACATAGTAAACAGACTGGGGGATGCTGGGTTGATCTTAAAGAGCAAATAGCAGGTAAAAAAAATCCTAATTCATATAAAATGCTGTCCAAAAATACAGTTTGAAATGCTTATTGTGGATATTTGGTTTTAAAACAGCAGTTTTCTAGTAAAAAGTGTGCTTTCTCAGCAAAGCTTCTAAAAAGGCTCTTTTATCTAAATGTGAACCTCTGACGTAACCAAAGGGAGTTAGAAGCTAGGCGCTGCCTCAGCTCCGTGTGGAGAGGCTAGTTTTAGGGTAGAGAGGTCATGCTATCGAGTCTGTGTGTGTTTACTCGTGCTGGGTTGTCTTCATGTTGATAAACTATAGTGTGTGAAGGCTGTACCAACTCCAGCCTGTCTGGACGAGTCCACCGGTATCTATGTAAGAGAAACAACGCCTCTATCTCCGTGCCTGAGGGCGTTTTGTGCAGCTGAAAAGACGACTTCTGTACTCCACATCGGTCGGTACCAGGACAGGGAGGAAGCTGGATCCCGGAGATCCGTGGCGAGGTTTAAAAAATTAAATGCGGATTTCTGGAGCTCAGATCACCGTCAGAACCAGGTCAGAACCGACCACCAGAAGAGACGTGTGGCTCAGTGGGCCAGTCGAGCTGGTTTATGGGTTAAAACCGGATCAGAACCACCGCCTGGACCACCAGGAGAGGATGTGCAGCTTTTAAAAATACCAACTCGACTGGCTCTCTGGTGTTTGGGTGGGATCCAGCACACAGAAGTGTGAGCTGGACAGGAATAATGGTCCCTCTCTTCCACAGCACCAGCATCACAGCAAGCTCTGCCACTGTTGAAGCCCTGTTCAAAAATGTGAAACGTGGGATTTTCCAACATGACAACCTGCCTGTTAGAGTTGATCGCTTCATTGCTCGTCATCTTTTCTTCATGGAGGGAAATATGCGGATTTGTTCTGCAAAAGAACAAAATAAAGATGAGGCTACAATGAGCCCAGTGACAGCACCAGAAGACAATCCCTCCTCCAGGACTACCCACAGAGCAGAAGACAAGATAAAAATGGAAACTCAACATTTGGTGGAATCTGGTTGTGCCACAAGCATTCCTACAACATTAAGATGAGGTAGAAAACTGGAGGGATCTCGCAGTTCCTCCCAAAACCCAACGACCTCCCTCCCCTGTCCAAACAGAGGTGACGAGCGCTGCTTATCGCGGCTGCATGCACTGATGTGAGGAGAGTCCCCAACCCTACCTCCCCACCTACTGGACACTTATGTTGTGTAATGTCTGAAGTCTGTTGCATTTCTGTCTGATGTGTTTTTTGCATAGCAAAGCTGTCCTCCCTGTGGAGGGTAACTCTGAAGTGCCTTTTTTTCCTCCACCTGACCCAATCCTCATGTAAACCCTCTGATCTCTATTAAGGTAGCACGACTCGGGTTGCGAATGACCACAGTCACCAATTCTTGTCATGTGTCTATGCCTATGTATGTATGTCTGATCTCAGAATTGTGTATACTGAAACTCTAATTTCCCTCTGAGATTAATGAAGTATCTTTGAGTTGAATTGAATTAAATGTCCTCACAATTTTAACTTGTCCCCATGTTAGATGTGAAAAGTCAAAATATGTCCTCACAGCATTCATAAGATATGCAAACGTGTGCGCGCGCACACACACACACACACACACACACACACACACACACACACACACACACACACATTATTCCCAGGCTATAAGGGTAAACTGTCTAGTCAGCATGCAGCTCAGTAATTTAATGTCCTAGTCGAGTGGGTGGGGAAAATAGATCTTTATATAATAGGCGTGAATATCCGTCTTTTATTTAGCGTTTGTCAGGGCTCCTGAGACATTTAAGGCTCATATGATTTATAGAGGCTCAACATTCAGTTTCCAATTGTAAATACATTTCATTCTACTGTCTGTTTAAAGAAATAATACAAATGTTATATGTGTGAAAACAAAGTTACAGCTGTCTGTAAATCACATAATATGTTTCTGTGTTTCCTTCAGGTTTTCAACAGGTGGTTCTGGTTAAATAAGAAGCTTCAGAAGAACTGAGTGCTCGTGTCAACTACCAGCACTTAGATTTCCTCCACAAAAAGGAGGAACAGGAGAAACTCTGGTCTAATATGGAGGGAGAGCAACTCCATTTGAATAAGGAGACTGATGCTGCCAGGTGTCAATCCCTTAGCCATAAAACACATTTAAACAAACACACGAGAGTCCACACAAAACAGAAGCCTTTTGCATGTGAGCTCTGTGAAAAGAGATTTATCCAAAAGTCAAATTTAAACAGTCACATGAGAGTCCACACAGGACAGAAGCCTTTTGCATGTGACCTCTGTGGAAAAAGATTTAGCCAAAAGTCAACTTTAAACAGACACATGAGAGTCCACACAGGACAGAAGCCTTTTGTTTGTGAGCTCTGTGAAAAGAGATTTAGCCGAATGCCAACTTTAAAAAGTCACATGAGAGTCCACACAGGACAGAAGCCTTTTCCGTGTGACCTCTGTGGAGGAAGATTTAGCCTGAAGTCAACTTTAAACCGTCACATGAGAGTCCACACAAGACAGAAGCCTTTTGTCTGTGAGCTCTGCGGAAAAAGATTTAGCGGAAAGTCAACCTTAAACAGTCACATGAGCGTCCACACAGGACAGAAGCCTTTCGCCTGTGAGGTCTGTGGAAAAAGATTTAGCCAAAAGTCAACTTTAAACAGTCACATGAGAGTCCACACAGGACAGAAGCCTTTTCCGTGTGACCTCTGTGGAAGAAGATTTAGCCTGAAGTCAACTTTAAACAGTCACATGAGAGTCCACACAGGACAGAAGCCTTTTCCGTGTGACCTCTGTGGAGAAAGATTTAGCCTGAAGTCAACTTTAAACCGTCACATGAGAGTCCACACAAGACAGAAGCCTTTTGTCTGTGAGCTCTGCGGAAAAAGATTTAGCGGAAAGTCAACCTTAAACAGTCACATGAGAGTCCACACAGGACAGAAGCCTTTTGCCTGTGAGCTCTGTGAAAAGAGATTTAGCCTAAATGCCCATTTAAATAGTCACATGAGTGTCCACACAGGACAGAAGCCTTTTGTTTGTGAGCTCTGTGAAAAGAGATTTAGCCTAAAGTCAACTTTAAATAGTCACATGAGTATCCACACAGGACAGAAGCCTTTTGCATGTGAGCTCTGTGAAAAGAGATTTATCCAAAAGTCAAATTTAAACAGTCACATGAGAGTCCACACAGGACAGAAGCCTTTTGCATGTGACCTCTGTTCAAAAAGATTTAGCCAAAAGTCAACTTTAAACACTCACATGAGAGTCCACACAGGACAGAAGCCTTTCGCCTGTGAGCTCTGTGAAAAGAGATTTAGCCGAATGCCAACTTTAAAAAGTCACATGAGAGTCCACACAGGACAGAAGCCTGTGGGGAAAAAAATTGGCCACAAGACAGCTTTAAATAATCACATGAGTTAGGGGTTGGCAATATAAACAATATAAGGTAGAAACGATATAAAATTGGGTAATGATAAGTTTTTGGCTCTACCGCGATATCACCATAACACATGATGTCACTAAGATGTGCACCCGTGCCGACATTGGAACAACAGAATGGCAGTGACTGCAAGCATGTAGCGGGAGGAGGAGGAGCATTCTACACTTTTTGGACGTCTTTATTCTGCTGCAATATATTTTCCATAAGAGGATTTTTTAAAGCATGTCATTCTGACATATATAAACAAAGGAAAAAATATATCGCAGTATATATCGTAATCGCACATGCTTCAGATATATCGCAATATAGATTTGAGGCCATATCGCCAGCCCTAACATGAGTGTCCACAAATGACAGAAGCCTTTTGCTTGTGAGCACTGTAGACGAAGATTTAGCCAAAAGAAAACTTTAAACAATCATCTAAGCATCCACTAGGGCTGAATGATCTATTGCAGGAGTCTCCAACCTTTTTTGGCCTGTGAGCTACTTTTACACAATGAAAGTACAGCAGAGTTACTGCCATATGATTTATTTACATTGATGTGTGAATGTGCTTATGTTAAACATGCTATACTTACTATATTAACATGCATTGTATTCACAAGTTGATTTCTCTGTATTTCAGTACATCAGTATATATTTTTAAGTATAAGTAAACTAGTGACATTCTGAAAACCAAATTAAACCAAACATATTTAGTTTTTTAAACTAATCAAATACTTTCAGATAATGAGTAACAAATCGACTTCATGTGAATGTTTTGGTAATTTTTTTTAGAAGGCTAGTAACAACTTTTTGAGCACACAGGAACCGCTAACCTGTAAAGCTGATGATATTTGATATAAAATACAAGCTAAATGTGATGAAAACACAAAATTGTAAATAGTCTGAATTGAAGTAAAACATGTAAAATCACAAGATTTGTTCCTGCTCTCCTGATTTATTGAATTTTTATGGGTTTTTTGTTACGTTTATTGCTGACAATGTTAAGGTTGGAGGATTATACTTTTTTTCTGCATCTTGTAGGTCAGTGATCCGCAAATGGTGGCCCGTGGGCCGGACCCTCTCTTTGCCCCCCCCCCCCCCCCCCCCCCCCCCCCCCCCCCGATGGCCGACCGGGAGGTGTAGGATAGATAGAGCTGAGGAAAATACTCAAATAATCAATGCACCAAGTTGCGGGCATAAACGATTCTGCATCATAGAAGAGTACCATAGTCAATTATAGTGGAATGTAGTTTTGTTATTTTAATGGCAGCACCAGATCCTGAAAAAATGTCCCAGTGAGGAGATGTTTACCCATAATGCACTGCTTCACAACCGTCTGATCCCAGCTGTCAGCGCGGTGGTGGAGGGCTGATGGTCTGGGCTGGTTCCGACCCAACTGGACTCATTAAGTTCACCATGAACTCCTCTAGAGACCAATGTCTTCTAGAGTCTAACGTGAGAACATCTGTCTGACAGCTGGAGATGGGATCAAACCGGGTCATGAAGCAGAACCATGATCCAGAACACGGCAGCAGATCTACAACAGAATCAGGATGTTGCAGTGGTCCAGTCAGAGTCCAGACTAGAACCAGACTGAGTGGTGGGACCTTCAGAGAGCTGAAGGTTTGCTAATGTCAAGAAGAGTGGACCAGAACTCCTCCAGGACCATGAAGAGGTCCAACAGAAGATGATTCCTGAGTTCCTGAAGGAGGTTCTACAAGCTGTAGGAGCTCCAGTCTTTGTTCTGCTTTTGTTTCTGAATTCAGTCCAACTGTGGAGAACCCAAAGGTACCAGAACCATCTGATGGTGATGCTGGTTCCTCAGATTACCAGTCTCAGTCAGACTCAGGCCTCCAGCAATCTCTTGTTTCCATCTGAACTCTTAAAATAAATATTATGGGATGTCTGTGAAGGTTCTCAGTCATCCAGGTCATTGTAGTCTAAGGAGCTTTGAAATTGGCTGCCTCAACGCCCACGCATATCCTGGGCCATCTGACCTCAGGAATTCACATGATAGGGTGGGTCCAGGCTTCACAATCAGCTCACCTGAAACTCTGGCTGAATGGGACCCACACCCACCCTCACACCTTGGCTCGTGTGTTTATGTAGAAGATCATCAGGGGGTCTTTTGTTCCCTCTTCGGGGGGAAACTCCCACTGGGTTTAAATCTGGAACTCTCCACCATTTGACCTTAGAACTGAAGAAGCCTCTCGGATGAGAGGTGAAACGTCTTCAAGCAACTCAAAGAAGTCCAGACGCTTTTCTTTCAAAGCTCCTTAGAATATTATGGGATGTTCGCTGTTGTGTTGTTTCTTGTCTTTATAAACAATTTGTGACAAAAGTCTTGAGTCACACTGAAATAAAACTAGAAAGTCAGATTTTGGGTCATTAGTCAATAATTCTGGAGACGTTTAATCCAGCAGAAACCCAGAGGCCTCAGTAGCAGCTGGAGTTAGATAACAGACTGTAGTTTTTATTTACATTTAGAAAATAACCGTTTCATTCAGACGGGTTTAGCTTAAAAAGCTTTTAAATCTATTAATGTTGTAGTTTGTGCTGAAAACATTTCATCTCTCTGAGATTTTCAGATTATTTTAGATTCTGGTGAAAGATGACAAGTTTGGATTAGCTGTAATAAACCACGCCCACTTCCTGTTTGTCTCCTAAAAAGGTTCACAGCAGAACCTCAGATGAACATGACTCAGCATCCTCATGCAAACACACAGAAGCTTCAGACTTTTATCCTGACTGTTTCAGTAGATTTTTCCTCTGGATGCAGGATCTACTTTCTGTCTAAAGGTGGAAAAACTTTAAAGATGAAAAAATAATTTTGTTATAAAAACACAACAAAGTGACTTTAAATGAAACTGATCTCTAATCAGCTTTTGTTCCAGGAAACATGAGTCACATGATCAGAACTGCAGCATCTTGATGCTCTGGTTAAAAGATGGAAACTCTTTACATTTCCAGTTGTTTCCAGTGTGTGAGATCATTTCAGGTGACTGTGGGCCGACACGAGAAGAACCAGTTCGATGAACTGGGCTGGTTTAGGTGGTGTAATGATCTGAAGTTGTATATTTATACACTGTAATTAGATCTAAGTATAATCAGAAGTGGTTGTTTTTATCAGCAGGGAGTTTACTTAAACACTCTGTATTGACTGAGAGACAAGAAAAGAGAGAGTTGGGATCGTTTAAGAATCTTTAATTTCTATAATTATAAATTCTTACAATCTACCAGGACTATCTCAATGATGAATGCATATGGATTTGGATGTTTCGTGTTGGTGTGTGTGTGTGTGTGTGTGTGTGTTCAGAATCTCTAGGCTGACGTAGCGAATCTGGTTGTTATGACTAGGCTACCATGAGGCTTCAGAAGCTGATGACATGAGCCGCCATTTTGCCGTATTTACGTACCCAGTGGAGCCTCCCATGTTAGATCAGGAATTGCCAGGTCCTCGGACCTTCAGAGGTACTGGAGCTGGTTGAAACAGCGGTCACAGCACACAATGCCCGTCTGAAGGGTCGACTCAGGTAGCATCGGCAGGCGTCAGCAAGTTCACTCTTATTTTGAAGGAACGTCGTCTCGTTGGTTCAAACGACGGAAATCTCCAGCTTGACAGTTCTCAGCTTAAAATAGCAAGTACAGCTGGCCAGTCTGTACTTCTCTTTTGGCGGTGATGGATTGAGAGCTGGTTGAAAACTACGTTGAGAGGATGATGTAACTCCTTTGGAGCTCGATCGAACAGAGCTGAAGTTAAAATGGAACTGACTATAAAATGGCGTTGCCTTATTTTATATCCCTTAACTGTTTACAAATCTTAGCAAACCGGATTGGACGACTTTCATTAAACAACCCAGATTCTGCCCTACGACAGACGAAAGTTCTGATTGGTTGAAAACAATGTGTCATGCGTTTCCATGGTAATGTAGATCAGTGTGTCTGGTGCAGCCCTGTTTATTCATTAAACACATAACTCATGACATCTTTATTTCACAGATCATTCACCTGATTATTAATGATCAACATATGCTCTGATTAGCTTATCACAATAAAGTACTTTGATTAATTAATGAAAAGCGTTCTTCTTCTCTTCTTCTGTCTCTTCTCCTGGAATGTAAACATACTGAACCAAGCGTCCGACCTTGGTGATGTTACTGTGTGAAGGGGCAGCTGTTAAGGGCAGACCATTATAAGCTTCATAACGCTACAGTGGCGTGCAGATGAAAGTCCAAACAGACTGCTGGTAGCTGCTGGCAGGTCTTGATGGTTGTGGATCACAGCATCTCCCTCACTGATGATCTTCAACAAAGCAGGACTGAGATGCAGGAAGATGAGGGTGCAGCACCTTCAGACTCCAACAGGAGATCCCAGTTCCAACGTGGTGAAGCCAAGCATCTTCATCAGAGTCCTTCAGAACAAATCTCAGCATCCAGTCATTACTTCCTCATTAAACACCTTCAATAATCCTAAATCTTGTAGCATAATGATGGGAGAGTCACTGCTGGAGGGGATGGAACCATCAGATCAGCTGACTGATAAAGAGAAGGGCATCACAATAGAAACATGTGGGATTAACCTCACTAATCCAATGTAATCCAGTTGTAGAGAGGGTATAATATGTTGCTTTTAAGCTTATTATATTACCTTTACTTATGACCAATAAGACGTGATATTCTATATAGATATAGGGTATCAACCTGATTGGTCTTTCAATGTTTATTCAGAAGAATTTGGGTTCTTTGCTTTTTCAGTGATCATAAACACACTTCGTATTAATTCAAAGTCAAGTTCATAAAACTAAGGAATTTATTTTCTAAACAAAACATGACCAGCTATAAACAATAAATGTGATGGATGAATATGAGTGGATGGAATGTGATGTATGTTTATCAGAACCTTGTATCTAGAAGAAACTGAGTTCTGGGTGTGAAAAGAATTTGTGGTTTGCTATAAGCTGAAGAATTGATTTATCAAAACAGCGTCAGACGCAATCTTGTTGTGCCGACGTACCCAGATAGGAACCCCCCGTGGTAGATCCGGAATGTCGGGAATCTGTGTGGACCCCCAGGCACCGAAGTCCACAGGATCAACTGCAGTACCACTAGACCGGTCTCGAGTTGTTCCCGGGTCACAACAGATAGATGAAGTTGTTTGCATCTAGAACAGCTGTTTTGGAATAGCTGAAGGAGCAAGTTTCTGTGTTGCTGCAGGCAGCTTTTGGCTCGTCGAAAGCTTTGATGGTTCAAAGTCCCTTCAGGACTGGCCACTCCGAAGGTGTACTTGAACTGAACTGAGCTTGAGCTGAATCACTCAGGAAGTGAGTTCTGTTTTAATTATTCTCATATTATGATTGTGTGGCAATGTGGAGAAACGAGGGCCCGGGCGGGATTCGATCCCCAGACTCCCGGGTGAGAGTCATGCGCGCTAACCAGTCAGCCAAAGGGACATCCCCTTGGCCAAGGAGCCAGGGCGCATTATCAATCGGGACGTTGTGACAGGACGCTCACACTGCCACAATTCAGGACTTGGAGGGAATGTTATGGAAGTGGATAAAATTTCTTATTTTACTTATTTGGTTTTGTTTTGTTGCTTCCTTTTGTTTGGTTATCCTTTTCGGATAAACAGGAGGGAATGTTATGGGAATTTTAAGTTTATTAATTCTTAATCATTGACTCAATCAACTGAATGTAATATGTACTGCTCTATGCTTCTTTGCATGCCCACTTATTCAGACACACCCACACGAGCCACACACACACACACACACACACACACACACACACACACACACATTCTTGACCTCCCACAAACACACTCTCTCACTTTCATTCCTTTCCTATCTCTTGGTATAAATAAACTGCGACCAGATGTTCGGGGCATTTGCCTCGTGCATTATGTCACAGTTATAACTGTTTGACTTGTCTGATCAT